GGAATGACCTCGTCGTTGCTAGATAGTGATTCCGAAGACGACGAATATTTGTCGAGCTTCTTCTTCGTCTTCCTACTGTTCCGCTTTGCCTTTACCCTCGCCTTTTTCCGTTTGGCGCTTTGATCCTCGGTGCCCAGGTCACTGCTGGACTCTGCTGATAGAGCTTCCGAGTCATCATCGTCGTCGCTCGATCTTTGCACACGCCTGCTCTTCTTACGCTCGACCTTGGTTCGTCGGGCTCTGCGTCGGCTTTTGGTGGCTGCCACTGCGTTCTCTGAATCAGAATCAGAGTCGGATTCAGAGGAGTCGGCCGAGCTCTCGTCCTCATCGGTTGATTCGTGCTTCTTGCTCTTGTGCTTCTTGCTCCTCATTCTCTCCTTTAGTTTCTCCTTTTGCTTCTGTTTCTTCCTCTTCCTGGCTTCTGCTTGTGCAATCGCCGCTTTAATCTTCTTCGGCCTCTTTTTCTCCTTGAGTTTCTCGTCTTCGTTACTTTGATCGGAATCGCTTGAGCTCTCGGTATTGCTAGTCTCGGATGAGGAGCTGGCGTCCACTTGACGTTTGGATTTGTGCAACGGCCTGCCCTTACGAGGTGTCTTCTTGCCAACTTCACGTCCTACCTTTACGTCTTTTGTCGTTGGTCCAACACCCACCGGATGCTTTTCGTGATCTTGTGGTGGTATATCGCACGTCTGAGTCGCCACGCTCTCCTGCAAAACCTCCATCTCTTGCTCACGTAGTGCTATGGCTTCGGGTTCAGAGACCATGGAAGGAGTAAAAATAACGAGCGGAAGTGATGAAGATGTATCTGATAATTCGTTGTTTGCTCGACAAGCCAAGGTGCAGTCAGCCGCCAATGTGCCAGAACTATCTAGACTGTTCATGAGCTGCAAACACTGACTGAAGGTTTGATCCAATGCACGCTTTCTCAACGACTCCTCAAACGTTCAGAGCAAAATAGGACGGAAAAGGTGTTTGGAGTGAGACAGTTCTACCAAAGACAATGGAGCAGCACTGTCTATCCCAACCACCTTTTTATCCCCACACAGAGTCCCAAGTACTGCTTGACCAGACTCTTGACACCCCTGCAACTAGACGACGCCCAGTCCTCATTTAGACAAAACCAAGTATTTCGCTGCATTCCTTGTACACCCACTCCAGCAAATCCTCTTGGCTCCGCAGCTTACAGTAACAACGGCTGAACATGTTGGGGCAACCACTAACCCTGACCTCAACCCTTTACTGAGGTCTTATGAAACGCAAGTAAACGTTTCCGCAGGGTATTGGCCGCCTTGCCTCACAGCCTTCCTTTGCTTCTCCGGACGCAACCCATCCTCCTCGCCTTGAACATGAAAGAGTAGCCGTATTAATATCCTTTATGATCCTCGTCCCGGAGGGGCGCCACGTTCCTACCACATGCACACATTTTGTCGTGGCAACATTCCACAATCAGGTTTTTGTGTAGCGGTTTCCATGCATGCTGCTGCGGTGCACTCCTTCATCATCGTGTGCTGTCGTCAGTGGCTAGACAGCCCTCTGCTACGTTTTTCACGAGGGGAAGAAAATCCAGATTTAGTGCGCTAGCTGCGACAAACGACATATCGAGATGCTTTAGCGATAAGCGTACAGCATTCGCCTCACTCCAACAACTAGCCACTAAGCATGCATATTCTCTACCATCTATCAACCTCCATTGCTTGAACTTGGAAATGAAGGCAACCGATAACAAGTGCTCAGGGGCCCAACAAAGCAGAAGTCACACCGATTGACAATACAAAAGCAGGTGGATGTATCTGAAACAGCAAGGCCAGCGTCCACGCCACAAACCAAACAGCGATATAGTGAAGCTTCAGTAAATACACGCGCATGCTCTCCCCCCCCCCCCCAACGCCCCATGAATGCCAGGGCACGCATGCAACGTGTACAGGACATGCTTTGTAACAAAGGCTGTGATACCTAGACCAGACGCCAATCACACAAATCTACCCCAGAAAGCCCTCATGCAAGTTGACCCCCAGCACCGCCCCCCCTCCCTTAACGCCCCGCAATGCCCCCCAAGCCGAGCACACGGCCATTTGCAGAGCCATGCACACCCCTCAGTACCGTTGGCGCAATGGGTTCTGGTGCTCACGAACTCGTCTTCTTCTTTCCAAAGCCCAAGTGCCCTAACCCGTGCTCTTTCGCATCCTTCATCTCGCTCTCGGGCTTGCCGTCGGGAAGCTCCCCAGTCGAGACTGCGCCAGAAATGTGGTACTTGATATCCTTCGCCACCTCGCTAACCACACCCGTGCGATGCGACCCACTACCTTGGTCTAGAGGCTCCGACTTGCTCGTTGTGGTGTTGCCGCTGCTACTTTGAATCTGGCTCGGTAGCGTGGCATCTGTAGATGCTATCGCTGGCTCACTCTCGTCTGCTTTGGCGGATGTTTTGGCGTCGCTGGGCTCTGCCAGAACTTCCTCGCCATTGGGGCCGTGAGAGCGCACATCCTTGGTATCGCTGTCTTCACTGTCTCTGGGACCAGAAGCGCTGACAATGGTCACATTCTTTTTGTTTTCGCTTCTGACGCTGTTTGCCCGGCTAATATCGGATTGAGTGTTGGTCGGACTTGCTCTGCGGACACCGAGGTCTTTGCCCTCGGACGGCTCCACGCCGTGCGTGCCTCTCCAATCCGCAGGTTGCGCCTGTCGCACAGGCTCACCTTCTTTTGGTTCTGTGATCAATACGCCAGGTCGGCCTTCATCTGCGGACAGTGCACGCCATACCACAGCTATCCGTTCAAAAGCTTGGGTACCTTTCCGAGACGAGCCTTTGATGCCGTCCATGGCATCCCATGAAATCTCGAACATGCCTGATTCGTCTGCGTTACCCTTCTGCTCCGGGCCATTGCCCTCAAAGTACGTGTTGAACCAAACGTGAGCGACAGCCGTGACCATGGTGAGATCAAAGGCGGCCTTGTTGCGGCGCTCGACATCGATGTTGATGTCGTTGGTAGGAAGGACTACGCGTTTCGAAGGACGAAAGACGACGTCGCCTGTGCCTAGCGGGAGGCTCTCGCTTGAGGTCTTTCGCTCAGCGGCCGTGCCGTCATTGTTGTTCTGTTGTTCCAAGGACAAGGTGCTGCTATTTTTAGACCCTTCATTCGTCTTTGAAGGGCCGAAGCCATTCTTATACATGACCTCTTGAACGGCCTGTGCCATGCCTGTGGTCTTGACTTCGCCGCGCACAATCTCGCGCTCATCTCGAGTGAAGGTGTGAAAGTTCTTGATGAGTTTGCCGTCCTCGACAAAGCCCTCTATCTGGATCTTGACCCCGTCTCTGAGTCCCCAGCAGTGTACTTCGAGAACCTCAACCTGGCGCTCGACGTAGATCTTGCCATGCTTAGTCCAGCGGTCGACGTAGCCTATCCAGCGCAGTTGGCTGGGTATGCTGACGCCTTTGCCCATGTTAGGGCGCATGCGCCTCTCAGTGAAGCGGTCGAGCGCCTTTTGCATTGGCCAGCCTTCTTCGCTGATAAGATAGCTGCAACTTGCTGTGCCGGATCGCCCCTTGCCAGCTTTGCAGTGGACCACAACGACGCGGCCTTTCTTCTCATGCAGCCAGTTGCGCATGCTTGCCATGATGTTGGGTATGAGGGCGAAAGGTGGAGGGTGGTGGTCCGGGAAGGGATAGTGGTACACGCGATTGTATACCTCTGAGTCTGGGTAGCCTGTACCTTCTGCGCGGAACTCCCATATGGCCCAGTCATCGCCATGCTTGGAGTCGAGAAACTTGACGAGGGAGTCGAGCGGGTTGCGATAGGCGCGCTGGGGATATGTGCCACTGGGGCCCGAAGTGGCGATGACTGCAAGAAGAGGTCAGCGCATGAAGAGTGAGAGCAGTGGTCTTGTGGCGAGTGTACTGTTGTCGGTTACATAGCATAGGTCGAGGCCGGCCTCGGGATGCCTGGCGCGAGGGCCGGCGACGAGCTGTCGCAGGAGCGACGCCTAGGCGAGACAGTTAGTTGTCGTTGTTGCAAGCAGTTGCAGTGGGTGCACAGCTGCATGCATGGCTGCACACATGGCTGCATGCATGCCAGACGTACCATAGCTAGGGCGAGAGAGGAGTGTATGCGAAAAGAAAGTCAGCTTGGCACATTGCGAGACTCGCAACCGTGGGATGCAGGCGGGCACACGCTGCACGCGACGGCAAGGTGGTACGTCACCCTAGGCTGCTCCGGCACACTAGGCGGGTGGTGCCTGCCTAGAACCCTGACTGCTGCTATTCATACTACTGCATACATAGTATGTACACACATACATGGCGCTATTCGTGTAAGTACATATAAATCCATCTAGTATGCAAGTAGTACACAAGTGCATTCACGCATGCATGCATGTACTAGTACTACATCATCACCATCCAGTCCTTCTCTCTGTAACCGCCATACGGACATATGCTTGGGCCATGCGATTGGCGCAATGCCGCCCCAGACGAAACCACGGTCGTATAGCCTGTCATTGTTACTACAACACCAAACACCAGGTCATCCTCACTAAGACGTCTGATTCAAACGGCGCATGGCATGGCAACAGTTGGGTTTCCGGTCATAATCCCCAGTAACAATCGCTGGCAAGGAGCCCGGCCGGACCAAGACAGGGCCGCATTCATGTAAGCAAGCGGAGAGATAGCATTAGATGGTGATGGCGCAATGCCGGCATACCGGTCCACCGGCTGACTTGACAAATCGGAATCGCGTGGCCACGGACTGACAGGCATAACATAATCTGGGGCATATTGCCGACGGGCAAGTTCCGAGTGGCCGTACTTGGTAGTTATCTGGTGGAACAAGACGAAATGCAAAGCACAGATGGGACGACGGCGCACCAAAAGGCACCCGCACCTTCTCCTATCCAACCACGTGGCTGAGGGCTTACATAATCGCCTCCCTCCAACCTGGCCTCCGAGTGCGAGCATGGTCCTCTACCAAGAAGCAACTGCCCTCACCTTAACCCTCACCGCAACCATGACAGAGAATCGCGTCGCAAAGCGCAAGACGCACACAAAGTCCCGGAAGGGATGCTTCCAGTGCAAGCAACGCCACACAAAAGTACGTGTGAAGCTCGACACCTGCCCCTGCCCTGCCCGGCCAATCAGTGTCTCTTGCTCAAAACTTTGCCAGTCTCCAGACATGATGCCCGACGCAAATCCTCGTGTCTGCTTATGACATGGCCAAACTGCACTGCCTACCGCACATCGGTTTCACTCCCTTTTGCTTACCCTCTGTTGTAGTGCAACGAAGCCCGACCACGCTGCGCAAACTGCGTTCGCTTGGACATTTATTGTACATTCCCAACCATACCAGAGAGCTACACCTCATCTCCCCAGCACAGCCCTGGCGTCAGCTCATCCTGCAGGGACCATGGTCTTCCCGAGAGCCCTGATGCATCTCATAGCCACACCGGTTCTGATATGCCCCTTGCCGACCTCCGATTACTGCATCACTGGATCAAGTCATGTGCCAAGTCACTGCATCCTAACCCTTCCCTACGGAGCAATGCTTGGCAGACTGAGTTTGTGGAACTGGGCTTCCAATTTCCCTTCCTCCTGCGTGGCTTCCTAGCACTGTCTGCAGTCCACCAAGCATACCTGTTTGCACCCAACGAGCGACAGGCCTTGTTGCTCCAGGCAGACTCCCATATCAGTCGAGCATTGGACACGTATAGGAAAAATCTGGAAAATCCAGACGTGAAGCTAGTCTTGCCCATGTTCATGCTGTCTTCTATACTCTTCACGTACAACTTCGGCTCGGCACAGCTTCAGCAGCCCGAAGACCCTATTGCCGCACTTCATCACTGCTTCATGCTGCTGCAAGGCATCAAGGTTGTCGTCATGCCCCATTGGCATCAAATCAAAGACAGCGCCTTCGTTGCCTACATGGCTGACACGCCTTCTGAAGACCTTTTGAAGGGTCTGGATAATCTGGCGAGCCAGGATAACCCCCAGGAAATCATGCGCTTGAAGGAGCTTACCGAATTGCTACTAGACAGCCAGGACAAGGAGGCTTGTACATGTGCCATTGACGAACTTCACACCACATGGCTCCGTTTCCGGCACCTGCCTAGAGACCGCGATGAGTACTCTCTGCTATTCTACTGGCCCGCCCTGTTGGAAAGTCGTTTCCTCGAACTCCTCGCTGCCCATAACCCCGTGACATGCATCATCACCACCCACTTCGTGGCCATGTTGGCTCAAAGTCGCCCAGTGTGGTGGGTTGGCAAATGGCCCCAGTGGTTACTCGCAGCCTCAGAACAGTTGTTGGCAGCAACCCCCGATCTCCTCAAATGGCTAGAGTGGCCCCGGGAAATAATTCGTCCACAGGTTTGGAGCATAACTACCACACTATGCGGTCCACAAGTTACTTGATTCGCAGTCACTAAAACCACTGTAGTATCATGTGGGTTGGCCGCTATACCGCCTCGCTTTTCCTGGTAATTGCCTTTGTCCAGCTGTCCGCTAGGGCCTCAGGGGTGTCATCGAGCGTATACATACACGCATCATCAGGTGAACTGTGAACGGTGAACATTACCAAAACCATCGATTGGCAGGATACTACAGAACCACAACTTGTGGGTTTAAATGATTTAAGCACCAAATTCACCTCGCTGAAACAGTCCTGTCTTATACACCCATACGCACGCTAGTTTGGAAGCCATGGCGGATTGAGTATCGCCTGGATCTTAATGGCGATCAGATTCTTCATGGCGCTGCCTGGAACGATAAGGTCACATCATTGAATCCTCACGAATTCTCTCTGTAATGGCCTTTGTAACTGGATTGGGTCTCGCAGTATTATATATGACGTGACAAAGAGAGTATTCGGTACTTGGCACGATTTTGTCATTACAAGAAGCACTTGGAAGCCTTGTTTTTCCTTGCTTCTTTTCACCACCAATAATTCTTCTCATCAAGACACATCTTAGTTACGGCACCTAGGTAGTCGAAGTTTGGCAAGCCGCTCTGTACTAATATCCTTGGAGATCTGTTCTCTCTCTCTTTATTTTTTTAAACCACTTGAAGCCGGAGAGTTCTACAAACAGCATAGATTTGTAACACAAGGGTGTTGACAGAAGAACGGAAGAAAAGCAAATCATCAATGATTATTGCTCAGATCAAAATTTTGTGGTTTTGACAAGTTATATTACAGACGATCGTCGGCTCTGATTCTATCAAGGACCAACTAACGTCCCAAACGACATCAACGCTTCATAGCCATCCCAAATGTTCATGTCTTCTTGTCTTTGTACATAATCATGTCGCGTCACTCATGTTATCCCAACGCTAGTCCGCCCAAACCATGAGGTGTAACCCCACCTCGCTACAGTTGCGTTTTGACTGAACTAAATAAATAAAAATATAAGAAAAAAGAGTTGAAGAAGAATAGAGATGGCGCTGTGGTCCAAGACCCAGCGTACAGGCTGTCTGATCAAAACGACGCTCGGTAGTCTCGTGAGGAAGCTAACCGACTTGCTTCCATCTGCAGGTACTGTGCTATCCTCTGGTCTGGACAATGCGCATGTTGGCCAAGCAAGTCCTTGAGAGCTCGTACCTCTGCCTGCAGCATGTCTACCTCTGCCTTGAGCATTCGGTTCTTGCGCTCATACTGCCTGGACCTTTCGACAAGCTGCTCTTGCTCGTGTTTTTGTTTACTCCGGCACTTGCTTGCAGCCCGGCGGTTCTTCTCGAGGTAGATGGCCCGCGCCGAGCCTGGTTCTACGTACTCCGAGTTACGCCTTCGCCGGCCAGTCGTTGTTGTTGTGGTGGGGGTAGCGGTGGTGGTGGTTGTGGTGGTAGTGGTGATAGAGGGCCGCCTTGAGAGCGTCTCGTCGTCTTGAGGGTATAAACTGCTACCCTCCTTAGGGTACAGACTGTCCTGGCGAGAGGGTACGGAGAAGCTGACTGGTGATGCCGAGTTGCTAGTATCAAAGTGGGACTGCGATGGAGAGATAGCCGACGTGCTATCATGGTACCCAGTAGGTCTGTTGGCAGGCGTAAAAGTGGGGGTCGAAAGAGCGGCTGGGTTGATGCTTGCTGTCGACGTCGGTTGTGCGTTGGTGTGTGGTTGTGAAACCGATGTGTGTTGTGTGTTCTGGGGCTGCACTATCGACAGAGGAGACGAGCTCCAGTCATGGACAGGTGCTTGTCCAGGATTCTGGTATTGTGAAGCGTGGATATGGTGGTTGGTCGGTTCTGTCGCTCCGGCGGGGTTGAAGGTACTAAAAAAGCTCACGTAACCTAACGGCAATCCCGACATTCGAGCATATGGATCTGGCTCCCCAAACGAATTGCTAGGTGGAAACATGACAGTAGTCGTCATATCGACTGTACGAGACTGACTCGGATCAAGTCTATGTGAAGGTAACGCGGGCAGATGGGGAGGGGTGGAAATGGGCTTAATGTGTCGTCTGCAAAGTCTCAAGAATCAATGACGACCTATGTAGATAACAGAACTACAAGGGTGTTAGTGGAGCGGAGGATGCCTGGCTGTGTGGTATGCTTCCCCCTGTATGTTGGAGAATAGGGTAAAGGCAATTTAAGGTCTATACTGTGCACAGGATGATTGCCACTGCAGCGGGAAGCTTCGTCATCCCAAGGGAAGGGACCCATCTGTTCACCTACGGTCAGGGTTGGCCTGGACCATGGGCGCCAGATTCTAAGGAGCGACCCTTGTCCTGAGTGCATATGGGTTGCAGGTGCGGTTGGGGCCTTGCTAGCAATAGCCGAGGGCGCGTTGAGTTGAGGCCAGCCAACGGGTGGGACTGGTACGCCAGCCAACGGTTTACTTGGGTGACGAATTGTCATGAGGGGGCGGAAGATTTGCCCATGCATGACCAGCATTAGACAGTGGGTTCACGGTGGATACGGTTACGTTGACCGTGGCCAATCATGGAGTGATCGCATGGCATGCAGGCGCAAACAGAAATGTGCTGAGGTGGATTGGCACCGCATTGTGCTCGCGAGGGTTCTGTGGTTACTGACGGGGCGAGTTCCGGCATCTGGTCAAGGCGAAAGGAGATGGATACACAGATACACTGGACGCGTCGCCGGGAGTCTACAATGGCAGGGTAGCCAAAGTGAAGTGGCGAGACGCTGGTCAATTTGCTAAGAAAGGGAACGTTGTCAAGGGGAACGGAGTGCAGCCAGCTTCCCCGCCGCTGCTGCTGCTGCTGCTGGTGACTAGCGCTGTGGATACGGACGGGCCCGTTAATTGTGCCCTAAACCACTTTGCCTCTTGGCTTCTGGATGCTGCTGCAAGCATCCAACCTACGCGACCGTCTTTGGCCCAATGCAGCGACGCAAACAACCACCAGTAGGATCGCCTGCCTCCAATCTTCCCACCATGGGTTCGACAAATACGGTCATGGGGTCAGAATGCCACATCTGACGCGTGCTGAACGACAGCGGCTCCCTAGACAACAAAGGCTGCTTTCCAGTACGTACATACGAAGTGTTTCTTTTCTTTTTTTTCTTTGGCGCACATGCCGGGCTCCCCTACCAGAGCAAAGTCTCATTCCAAAATGTAGAAGCCAAAACGAGCCTGTGCACATCTCGTGTGTAGTGCCCGTAGGCGGAGGGAGGTGTACTCTACACAGCCTGTCGCCAGATTGCGACCAGCCTTTGTGGGCTGCGACAGTGGCGACTCTACAGGACCCCTCGTCAACACAACTCAAGCTCATCGCCCTGTGGGAGCTGGCGATCCACATTTTAAATTTCGCGGGATGTGATGAGGAATTGATATTGCAGCTGGTGCTTCATGCCGAGCCACAAAACTGGCAGCCCACTGCCACCCCTCGGAGTGACGGCCATTATCAGCTCCATGTCGGACAGGGTTGGCCGTTCCAATGAACTTGAGCAAAGCTTCCACTCGACACCGCCCTGCGATATTCCAACCCGATAAAGGGATTTATTTCTTCTTGCGGCATCATTGCCACCGTGGGGTGGCATTTCAGTAGGGTCCACCTTTCTCGCTTGCACACCTGCGCTTTTGCTCTCCAAAACTCAACACCACCAGCCCATGGAGAGTCATGTATCTATGAAGCCAATGCTTTCCAGTCTCCAGCTGTGTTCCGGCTACCCGAATTTGTCTCTGGAGCCCTGGCGCCAAGATCTCACATCCTGGTCAATAGAGGAGGCCTTGTCCTCCGCGGCGCGGTAAGACCACACAGACAAGAGCGGCACCAAGGTTCCATACTTAACTCTCACACCAAAGAGCTCGGTTACCTGGTTCGCTACCGATCAAGATAACCGTTTCTGGGTCTGGAAGTACTGCTAGGTTTCGCAACACACACTGGCTCACCACCAAGTACCGTCGCACCTTAGTACCAGCATTAGAGTCCAAGCATGTGACTGGGGTCAGCCCCATGCTTTGGGTACTTGTTCATTGCAACTAGCCATTTACCTTCTTCAGCTCTAATCCTCGGCCTTTTCCGAAAACTCAACCCAAGTGCCACCACTCATGCCATTATCTGGTCGCCTTTGTAAGGTTCTGTATATAGGTAATACGTGCGCTACTACCGTGCTTGTCTTTTTGATGGGTTGAGTTCTGCATGCGTGGACTTTTGAGCAAAAAGAGAAATTCATTTTACCTGCCTTTGTTCAGCGAGCCACAGTTTCGACGTCAGTGACCCGAGAACTATGTTCCTTCGGTCTTGGAGTTTCGCGTACCTCAAACCAATATTGCCTGTGGAATAAGTCGCCAACAGAAGGGTGAGATAACCGAAGGTAATGTGGACGACACAGCCACATCTCTGGGCAGCCTTGCTAGAACAGAGACTCTGTGATAACGGCCGGACGGTGCCCCCGAACGTCCTGCAGTGCAATTTAGAAACCAGTGCCACGTGGGATAGATGCTACAACTAACTAGATAAGGCTAGACTGAGATCTAAAGGTCTTTCGTCGTTTATGGTCAAGTTGGGGAAATACGAGAGCGATCACACAATCGGGTAGCTATGTGTTTAAACATCTACGTTGCTCCCCATTCTCTATCCCTTTCTGCCGTCTCTAAGTTTATTCGATGATCAGCGACGCAACATCATACAAAACACAGACGGTCAGCCCACTTCTGCATAGCTGTTCTAGATGATTGGATGGTCTGTGAGCAAATTTGGAGAGGCATGCTACACCCCGGATTCCACGGGTGTCCTGGGAACGCAATGACGCAACAATCATCAACAAGGAAATCAGCCAAGCAGCAAACAAAAATTTCATCTGCGAGTTGAGAGTTAAATGGGCAGCAATGAAAGATATACTGAAATTGACGGCCACCATCAAGCGCAACGCGGATATGATTTTCCGTGGCGGCTGATCAACTCCGCTGTCTCTCCGCTTCGAATGACGCTAACAAATACAACAGCACAACCAAGACGGCTGTATGTGAGATAACTCAACACCTCTCAACAAAGCTGAAGAATAAAAAACGCAGTTGTGATGCGTGTCGTCGTATTTGGAGCTTCCGGCGTTCAGGGCCGCCACCAAGTCCACGCCCTCGCGCAAGCAGGCCATTCTGTGGTTGCAGTCAGTCGCAACCCTCAACCGCTACACGTTGACGGAAAGCCTGTCGAAACATTTGCTGCAGATTTTTCCAAAAAAACTTTCATTGAAAAGGCACTTCAAGACGCAGACCGAGTGTTCCTCAACCTGCCATCAACTTCTTTCAACAGGTCCGAACCCATCATCGCCGCTGCAAGAGACATCGGCGAAGCTGCGAAGAAAGCCAAGGTTCCTCTGATACTTTTCAATACCAGCATGCCGGTTCCCAAGCAGCCACAAGATATCCAAGCACAGGATGATCGAAGAGTAATGAGATCCTTATTACGGGAGCATGTCCCGGTAATCAGCATTGAGCCCGTGGTTTACCTTGACAATCTTCTCGAAGGCTGGGCTTTGCCTCCAATCCGCGACCGACAGACCGTCGTCTACTGCCACAAGCCAGACCTTCGCGTCTCATGGATCTGCCATCATGATGTCGCACAAATTATGATGGCTGCCATGCATAGACCGGAACTTGCCGGACGCGACATTCCTATTGGCGGACCTGAAACTGTTGTGCTTTCTCAACTCACAGAGAAACTATCGAGAGCCTGGGGTAAGGAGCTGAGCTACGAAAATCAGACTGTGTCAGATTTTTGTGACAAGATTAGCAAGACAATGCAGGGAAGAGGGCTGGAGACGGAGACGGTGGTGAGTCAGATGTCCAAGGCGTATACGTACTACAATGAGGCAGAAGATGAGCCGTTCAACATCGATATGAAGCCTATCATTAGTGAACTGGGTGTTGAGCTTACCCCTATTGAAGAATGGGCTAAGAGGAGAAGTCCTTGGGATGACAAAGGTTACTACTAGAGGTCGAGTTGAATCAGAAACTGGATTGGATTGTCCTGCATCACTCGCACGTCACAGCCGAAATATACAATTTTGGCCTCATCTCTGAACTTTAAGTGAGGGATAAGAAAGTCAATTCTACTCAAGGTTTCGGCTATGAAGAGCTTGCCAACTGGTAATCTACTTGATGTTGCATCACACAATGATATCGTATGATGTACATGGACGTCCGGTCATTGAATAGCCAACATTGAAACATCATAATAGTCGATTCACAAATCACTGTAGAATACTTCTGAGAATTGTTACAAGCTAAATGACTTTCAGAACTCTTTACATATTCACATTGAGAATCTTATTCACCACCTTACAATAACTACAACAAACCGCTCAATTCTGCCAACGCACAAACAACTCCCTTCGAATCGAAAAACAGAACAAAGACCCGCACACGTTCCACACTACAAACCCTACATAGCCATTCCGCCCCCGCCATGTCCTGTATGATTATCCTGCAACGGCTTTCCCCATTCACCAATACCGTCGCCCCTAACCCTCTGCACCTTGAGCGCCACCTCATTAAATTGGCGCAGCAAGTCCTCGGGGCTACTCTTGCCCGGCACAAATACGAGCGCCGCATCTACCGCCGGACGACCGGTGCCGACAAAGTTGCCGTTCGTGTCCTTGACGTAGTGGGCGAGGTACTGCGAGCGCTTCATCCGGCGCGTCACAATCGACTGGCGGACCTCGCCTTGCTTGTGCGAAAAGGGGTTGAAGTTGTGAATGCTGAAGCCCACGGTTCGGGTTACAAATGGTACTGTGATGTACTCGTCTGGGTCGCCTTGGGAGAGGGCTGTTAGGGCGTGTCCGACTGTTTCGTAGGTTGGTGGTGGATCGGAGGTGGAGGAGCCATCGTAGGCCGGGGGTGTATCTGCCGTGTCGTTCTTTGATGTGCCGCTTTCACTGGCTTTGGACTTTGCCGAGGTCATACTGTTTGTGGGTAGTGCAGTATGCTGTTGGATTGGAACTGGATGAAGACAAATATATACTTCAAGGCTTGGAGTATGGTAAACGTCTAGAGGCATGTACTAGTGTAAATGTCTTTTTTTAAGAGAAATTACCTGATGACCTCATATCTTCAGCCTTAAATATATGTATATATGTACTCCGGTCCCCGGCCTACCTTCACCCACACTATCCAGCTATGACCTCATCACATGGGTGTTTCTAAGCCTTGCAACTCAAAGCGCTGCGCCCCAATGCCCAAAATACACAGCCACCTCACCCACTACTCCAATATAGGATACCTGCGCTGCGTCACATACGTGGCATTGCTGAAGATGGTATTGCAAAAGTGGTCATGTATACCACAACGATTAACAGCCGTAATAGGTTTTTCCATCCACTCACATCACTGCATGTTTTGCTCTCCACCTACGCACTGTGACTTACTATGCGCCTTGGAGGTTGGCTAGACCACAGTGATCTACAGTACATACAGAACGCGGGGGAATGTGATGTTGGTGGCTGAACTTAGCGTCTTTTCTCTCCGCCCCGGTTGCTGCCGATCAAATGGCGCATTCCGAGCCAATCACAATGACGGGCCAGACTTCCGAGTCCCAAGTTTCCGTATCCTAGACATCTAAAGCTTAAGCTTGGACAAGAAAGTGGTAGACGATTGGGGGCTGTGGGTGCACGGAAGGGATCATAGGATTGTCAAAACGGCTGAGCCCCCAGTGTCCCTTGCATCTTCGCGAGCGCTAAAATATGTGTCCTAACCAGGAAGCCTCGAGATTTTAGTTTCCGTGGGGAAAGCTTGTGAATTCAATGAGCGGGGTGTGCATGTAGATAACATTTGTACATTGTCAGTTGACCCTCAGCTTCACACCTAGAGCTGAAAATACTGTAAAACGCAAGTAGTCCAAATTCTGGAAAGCATTCACATACAGGCCAGAGGTAGTATCTCACATGGGTCCAACACTTAAACATAAGTCGTTCATTTCTTCCATTCATCATAATATCGTAGCGTAGCTAGTCTTCAGATACTCGTCTTGTATATACAAAAAGCTACAAGCTTCACTCAACGTGGAAAATGTCAATCTAGCCATAGCAGCCTCATACAAATTCCTCCTCGCTAACATTCTTGTCCATCTTCTCAAGCTTGTCCTCAGGCACAATGCTGCCGGTAAAAGGCTTACGCGACATGCTAACGATGGCAGGAATGCTCTTGCCCTCTGTGAACATGACTTCAAGCTCCTCCAAGCTACGACCCATGGTCTCGGGGTAGCCAAAGTAGACTACGGGGAGAATGATCGCGGAGATGATAAGGAAAACGAGGTAATATTTCCATCCAATGGTCTCAATCGCGACCTGGTATTGCGCGTTAGCAGAAATCAAGATATCAACAGAAGACATGTACGTACAGGAGTGACCATGTTGACCACAAAGTTCCAAAGCCAATGGTTCGCAGTTGAGATACCAGCCATGGGCACGCGGAGCCGGGTTGGCGCAACTTCGGTGCAATACAAGAAATTTGCGCCAAGGAAGCCGATAGGGATGAAGAAGTTGAAGAGGAAGACGAAGAATGCAGAGGCAATTTGGGCAGATTGGTTCGTCTTGGGGAAGCTGGATGCGATGGCTAGTGCCAACATACAAGAGGCCATGCCGGCGCCGCTGAACATGAAGAGCTTGCGACGTCCAAAGCGGTCAATGGTGAAGAAGGCGACAAAGCAGGAAAGGAATTTCCAGGTCAACGCGCCGCCGGACAGGATGCGCGAGGTTTCACTGTTGAGGCCTAGACCCTGCTGGAAGATGATCTACAGAAATAAATTGGTACGATGATCATGAATAAGATTGAACTGACAGAGCTTACAGTTGAGTAGGTGGAGATGAGGTTGCTGCCACACATCTGCTGCAAGAATTGGAGGAAAATGCAGAGTGCAAAGCGGTAGAATAGCTTGTCTTCGCCCATGGTGAAGATGTCGCTCATCTTTGCTGCGCTGCGGCCGGTTTCCTCGAGCGTAATCTCAATGCCAGTAATCTCGGCAGTGATCTCAGGGTCGTGCAGATCCAGACCCTTGAAGCTGGACAGACTGACACGAGCGTCTTCGACATGGCCCTTTGCTACAAGCCAGCGAGGTGATTCAGGAATGCTGAATACCGCCAACATGGGAATGACCGAAATGACAGTGGGGATAGCGAGAGGAATGCGCCATTGCAAGGGCAGATTGTCTTGTTCGAAGAAACCCAAGTTGATCCAGGCTTCGAGGAGGTAGCCCAGAGAGATGAAGCATCCGTCCAGTACGACGTGCTTACCACGGTTGGCAGACGATGAACACTCGGATTGCCAGACTGGGACTGTGGCGCTCAGAGCACCCACGCCCCACCCAAGGATGAAGCGACCGACAACGAATTGGGCAAGCTGGAAGCTGGTGCATTGTAGTATCTCGCCAATAAGCGTCAGACCTGCAGCCAAGAAGATGAGCTTCCGTCGCCCGAGGTAGTCTCCGATCCAGGAACAGGATAGAGCACCAAAGAGGGCACCGATGGTAAAACTAGCAACGACTGCACCTTGCTTGGTAGAGTTACTGCTCTTCTCAGCGCCATGGGTGTCGATGGTGTTGATTTCGGGGAAGTGGTCGTTCCAGTCCCGGAGGGAGAGGAGACCACCTACACCGGACTGGTTGTACCCGAACAGCACAAAGGCCGGTAGGACAACGAGCAAAAGCTGGGCCGTCTGGAGGGTTTTGCCACTGAGTCCCATTGTGATCGAAGATGGAAGGGGTCAAGGTACAAGGGGGGAAAGAAGGGACTGCACGAGAAGAAGGGGTCGGGAGAGAGGTCCCTACTTGTACTCCAGAACCATTCCCCACAATGCCTATACCGTCGTGTGGGTGCCATCATGGAGACTCCAGTCAGTGCATAATTCGACATTTCAGTCCCCACATCTTGGGGTCAAACCAAACACCGGAGATGCAACGTCCTAGCAGGCTCCGATGGCCGTTTCAGGCATAACCCCATACACACCGGTCGGAAGAGTGACGCCCGCGTTGCCAGTGTGGAGTCGGCATCTACGGCATTTGAAAGCAGGCCAGCAAGGAAAAAAAAGACAGGGCGCGTCGACGGCAATAGTTCGGCTTGGGTGGTATCGGATCGAGCGGCTAGGAAGCAGGATCCTGGAAAAGGCCGCAACGCTATTGTCAAAGTTGAGGCGTGCAGTGGAGCGGTTGAGGCTGCGGCTCTGCGGTAGGAGTTAAGCTTCTCCAAGAGGGAGCTAGTTTGCTTGAAAACCTTGATTTGCCTAGCCTCCTATTCGTCGACGCCAGCGGCCTCGGCAGCTGTCTTCCTCCGCCTCTCCCCACCCCACAGCAGCCGTGCGCGGCCTGTATGGCAATGGTTGAGAGATAGCAAGCTCGTGCGAGGAGGAGTTTGCATGTCGTGAATAATCAGCGCCAGACCGCCCGGCCTCGATATGTCATGACCCCACGCGCACGTATGTACATACTTATTATCGGCGCTGCAACGTATACGCCAGCCCCTCCCCCCACGCTCACCGTGGACATGGCGATACGACTACACTTAAACACCATGTATACTGGTGCAGCGCCAGCACACTAAGTCAGTCTGTTAGCGAATCCGGTGAATACCATCTATTTAATCATAGCCCCCGGCACTTATCAAGCTACTGGGCCGTCCAAAAGGTTCGCGCGCTTCCTTCCCTCTTAGGATGGTCTTGTGTCTTTGCTAGCTGCTGCAGTGGACTGTGCGCCCTCAAGATCGGCGCTCTCCTTCAAGTCCGCTTCCGTATTCGCACCGGCCTCGTTGCCTTGGTGCAAAAACCCGTCTTTTGCCCCCGATTGTCCTGTGTCGGCACCGAGTCCTGGGGTTTGTGTCACCTCTGCCGCTGGCCTGACGTGTTGATTTCCCACATCATAGAATCGACCAGACTCGATGCCTCCCTCTCCAGATGCTCTGGGCATCGGCAGAATACCATACTCGAAACGGTCGAAAACGGCCTTCTCCACTGACATGCGGGGCTCATTAATCTCTCGTTTGTACTCGTTAAGAAGCGCAACTGCTCTCTCGTCACCCTTTTCCACACAAGCGTGTATGAGAAGTTCCCAAGTCTTCTTTCGGGGCTTCATCGGCGCGTCACTGTCGCTCGACGACAGCATCTCCTCATAATATAGCAGCGCATCTTCCAGGTCGCCACATCGTAGGCAGACCAGTAGGAGCCGATCGTAAGTAATACGATCAGGTATCAGCCCAAGCTGCATCATCTCGTTTGCCAAGAACATCGCCAGTTCCTTGCGTACAAACTTGTGGCAGCCCTTGAAGAGAATGTTGAATGTATTGGTGTTGGGCCCCGCGCGTGAAACGGTATGAAGAGCTTTGTATATCTCAATCGCCTCCTCAAGGCGACCCAGGGCAAGACTAGCCTGGATGCACGCATTCACCGCCGCTGTGGGCACTCTGCGGCCAGCAGCCTCAAAGTCTTGGAGGAGGGCAAAAGCTTCCAATGAGCGGCTAGCCCCATCACCTGTATCAACAGACAAGTAATGGTACAGTGGCTGGCACGTTGCAGCATTGACCTTGACGTTGGCATCTACCATGATGAGAATCACGGATAGAGCAGCCTCAACATCATTAGCTTGTAGATGAGTAGACATGATGAGTTCGTAGTGGTGAGTCGTAAAAGTGGTTTCCCGTTCCGTAAGCAGGCGAAAGACGTCGGTGGCAAGTTCGACGTCTCCGTGGTGAGAAGCAAGTGCAAGAACAGACATGCAGGTGCCAGTGCCTGGTTTCAGGTAGCCCGGTTGAACTTGAGTCATCCACACTTTGACTGTTTCTTCGTGCTGCGCGGCATCAGCATTGTACGATGAGTTGATTGTCGGATTTGTGTTACACATACAAGCTGACCCTCTGCCGCCGCGTCCAGCAATGCGCCCAAGAGCGCATCACTCACCTTGGCAGTCCCCGTGCTACTGCCTTTGTTTTGCACTGTTTCTTTGAGGCCCAGAACATAGAAAGCCTCTTCCACTTCTCTGAATTCCAATAGAATCCACATGGCCTCGTCAAATAACCAATTCTCCACACGTATGTTGTTCCTTATCATGTCCTCCATTGTGTCAAGCGCCTGTTCGAAATGGCGCTCTCGCAACAACCCCGCCACGACAAAGTTATGCCCACGAGTGGAAAGGGTGAGCCAGCGCGACTTCATGTATTCAAGAATCTCGGAGCGCAAAAGGTAGTCAGGATGCACCGCCAGCACCTCCAGCACACATTCGCACGCACGAGCGTCAAGCTCAATCCTAGGGGTCCCAAACAGTGACGCATCCGTCTGACTCCAAAATCCCATTTCTTCAAGCACTTTGCGCAGCTTGCCGGCTGTGCCATCCTTGGAACTGACAAAGCTATGCAGTATGGCCGTATACATTTCCCTGTTTGGCTGCTCTCCTCTATCCTTGATCAACACTCTGCAAATGTTCATGACCTCGTCCCAATGGCCTTTGGCGCCCTCGGCGCGGGCATGGTCATAGAGAAGGTCGGTTGGAAGCTGAGCGAGCGAAGGCTTTTGCCGCGAACTGACGGGGCGAGGAGTGTAGGATTGCTCGCCAAAAGGTCGGAACCCAGTTGGCGCAACGCCGGGCTGTGAGAAGAAGGACTCGTTGGCCGCGCGACATATGTTGGACAGAGTATAGGCACGCCACTGGTTGCGGGGGTAGATTGATCCATCATTCCGTGTCGCATTGCGCTGTAGCCGTCTAGCCGATGTTGCTGCCGTGGCGCTTGTCGTCGAGTTGGGCGGAAAGCCAGGACAGAGACAACGCCATAATCGGTCGTTCACAAATGGGCGTGGTGGCATTGGCGTTGATGTGATGCCTTGCCCATTTGAACAGGCCCAAAACTTGAGTTGCAAGAAGAGGCCCGTGCACAGAAGCCTCGGTTGCGCACGTCCGTCATGCCTCACCTCACTAGGAGCTTCGAGCTTCTACTAGTAGGCAAATTGTAAAGAATATTACTACTTGTATGCTACGTTGACGCGCGCCACGAAGAAACCCATGTTTTAAGTGTACGCCAGACTGCAGAAAGGGTATATGCGCCCGATTACCAATACCTACCGCCTGCGGCTGACGGCGTATGCCATGTCGGTCGAAATTGGAGCTGCCTTTACTTGGCAGCGCCAAATTTGATTCCTCCCCCCCAAACCTCCTCTTGGACCAGTAAACACTCTATTAAATGATCAAGCTAAATCCACATTTTGCGTTTATCTCCGCACCATTTGCTCGGAGAGAAGTTCAAGCACCTATACCGGTAAAGTGAGCATGCAAGACGTGGGCTTGACAGGAGGGGAAACATACCTTCGGTGATATTATGTCCTGGTTCACCAGGTGCTTGCTCAAGATCTTAACAACTTCCATCTGCTCCTCGTAGGTAAGTCCAGTAATGGCAGACTCAATCACACCGCCGACAGTTGTGTGGTGGACAGCAATAAAACTCGAGTAGTAGAAGAATGCAATGGATCCCATGATGAACTGGCAGTCCATGCGGTCAGTCATACCGCCATGTCCAGGGATGGAATCGCCGAAGTCCTTGATTTTGAATGTTCGCTTCAGCCCAGAGGCGAAGAAGCCACCGAATGGTGCAATGAGCGAGGCAAAGGTTCCTAGCATAATGACGTGGAACTGAACGGGCATGATGTTAAAGGTGCGGGGGAATGGAAGACCCTCGGGAAGGAAGGGAATTGTATAGTCGCGCGCAACAAAGACGGGATTGGGTCTGCACTCGAGGCCGGACCAGATGTTTGCGCCCAAGTCGTTGACAGGGCAGATGAAGTACTTATACTGGGAGACAAAATGAGTGACGGCAATACCCCAGAGAACGGTAAAGAACCAGGCACCTAGGAATCCCTCCCAGGTCTTCTTAGGCGAGATTTGGATCAATGGAGTCCTGCCAAACGTGATTCCGCAGAGATAGGCAAAGATGTCATTTGTGATGACCATGGACACGGGGAGGATGAACCAGATGAAACCCTCAAAAATGTTGTTGATGACAAAGTGAGCCTGTCCGACAATCAGGAACAGAGCCATGTGGGACCATGCGAATTGAGTGAACTGGAACTTGTAGTGACCCTTTTGGAGAGAGAAGACGAAAAATATGAAGCCTGGCTAGGTTAGCTCGATAAGAGGGAATGAAAGGAAGGGGCTTGGGTACCGATAATGTAGAGCATAAAGGAGATGAAGCGGTGATGAGTAGCCAAAGGAAGCAGCAGCCGGTCAACCATCAAAATATGCTTGAAGTAGTAGATGACGCTCTCGCCGTACAAAAAGTACATTGCGGTGCCGAGAAAGTACCAGTTGAGCGACTTTGTGAAGCGCAGGCTGCGGGCCTTGCTGGGCACGTTTGCGATTGCAATAACCTCCTTGAAGGATATGCATTGGACGGCGGTGACCATGATGATTATGAAGAGGTGGCCAGCGCCGAGAGCCCAGAAGAAGGCGGCAATCATGACGAGGGTCCATATTGTGCGGGTGATGAAGTTTGCCTTTTTCTTCTCATACTCTGTTTGGGGGGGTTGTTCGGGGGCCTAGGCTAGTCAGCAGGGCGAGGGCGGAGGAGAGAGACGGGCCAACGTACTGGGGGAGCCGCTTCCTCCTTGATGGTGGTTGGGCTTCCGGGGTCGCTGAACTCGGACAGAGACTGCGAGGGCCTACGAGCCCGGCCATTGCTGGCACTGCGCGTTTGATGCTGGAACTTGACGTCCTTGCGAGGGCGCGCCATGGTGAGCGCGGGCGGGTGGTGATGGCAGCAGCAGCTATATGGGAGCTTGCAGCGAGGAGCTGGGGGCGGTGATGGCGATGGTGGTGATGACGGGGGGCGTGGGTGTCGAGTTTGTGGTGGGTGTCGTCGTGTGGTAAATGCGACGGCGGGGTGGTCGAGGGCGCGGTGGTGGGCCAGGCGTGCGAGGGAGGGTTTGACTATTACTAGTAGGCAGGCTGTGAAATTGCGGCGGACAAGTCACAACGGACAGACGTCATGGCTGCTCCTCCGTTTAGCGACGACAGCCTAATGCCACCACGACCAAGCATACGCCCCAGCCCAGCCACTCCAACTCTAGCCCCGATGGAGCCACCATGCCCGACCAAGACGACGACGACGACTACGGCTTCGACGATGACGACCTCGACCACCTTCCTGCAAACACGCTGCATCACCTCGAGGCCAATGCCCTGCGCGCCACACAGCACCCCCAGCACGCATACCACCCTGGCCGCCCTGCACCCGCCTCTGACTATGGCCTCGACGACGACGATGACGGCGCAGAGCTTATCGACCTGAACGATGCCTCTGGCCCGCCGCCTGCCTCGCCCTGGGTGGTGACGACCCAGGCGCCGCTGCCTTCACAGCCCCAGCACGCCGACTATTCGTACGCCGACGACGACTACGACGACGGCGACCAGCAGTCTGACTCCCACCACCTGCTCCAGCGCATCACCCAGGTGCGATACCCTTTGTGCACCACCCGCGTGCTCCCCCGACCCTGCTGATGCCCGCAGTTGGAGCAAGACAAGGCTCGCCAGACACGAGAGGCCAACGCGCTCAGGGAAAAGCTGCAGACCAAGTCAGGTGAAGCTGAAATCCTTCGAAGACGCCATGACATTGAAACCAAACGATACGAGCGTCAGCTGGCCGATCAGCAACACACCCATGGCACAGAGCTGGCCAGGCTACGCGCCGAGATGGACAGTCTGCGCCGCGAGGCAGAGTCGGCCCAGACAGACACCATGTTCCACCAGTATGAGGCGCGCGAGGCTGGCATCCCACGTAGAACAGCAAGGATTGTGCCCTCTAAACCAACGGCAACCCTGCCACCCGGCAGTCCTGCAGGCATGCCCAGGGGAGCACACCCGACAAGAGGCCCGCTAGCCGACGGCTTCGACGATGACGACGTGGTCATGGCATCCCCATCCAGACATCGCGACAGACCAAAGACTGCCACCCCCAAGGCCGGGAAGCGCAAACGACATGTCATTGACCAAAGTCCCCTTCCACTACCTGCCCTACAGCTGAGCGGGCCGCGTAGCCGACCCAAGGAGCGGGAACCGTCGTTAGTAGCCCAAGTCAAGATAGATACGGCACTGCTGCAGCACTTCAGACACGACGACCGTCGATTCGCCCTATTGCACCGCCTGCTTTCCCATCCGTCCTCCATTGGCACAGACCGCGTCCTTGAGGCACTGACCAAGTATGCCTTTCCCTCCAGCCCCACCAAGAAATTGTCGTCGATTGTGTACGATGCGCTAGCAAACATGACTATCGATAATGTCCATGAGTTGGCCTTGCACCTGTGCCATGTCTTTCTCGACCTCTGGAAAAGATGTCAAACCGAAAAGTACTACGCCCCTACTCCGATAATCCTCGACGCGCTACATTTTATCCTCGCATGCGAGCCAGTCGAGACTACTGTAGAGATTGCCCAACGCATTGTTCCACTCATCATTGCTTCTATTGATCTTGTGGCTGACCCCATATCCAAAGCAGCCAGGGGGGGTGACAAGGCAATCGCAGATCTGTACTCACCAAAACAGCGCCAAATTGCTGCCTGCATTGATGTGGAGGACTGTCTTGAGCTGCTCTATTTAGTAGCAACTAGCTGTCTGTCCTCATCAGATCCCGGAGCTATCGTCCGCTTGTGGCAAGCAATACCCTCTAGTTTTACGTTAATGCTCCTAGTCAAAGAGCAGCCTGTAGAGCAGATGACTATCATGTTACGCATATTGGGCACATCTGCTCTCACCACCTCGGTTGGACCCATTAATACAGCAGATCCCGCTGCAGATAACCAAGCAAACAATGAAGACGCTCTAATCAATCGTCTCACCAACCTCTTTACTGAGACACCCAAGCCTGTGCCGGATCCTGCCGCATCGCCTACATACACCATACCAGTGTCCGAGGCCGAGCTATGGGACCTGCGCCTCCTTGTCCTCTCGGTACTCACGCAGTTTTCCATATTTGAATATGGGTCCTGTCGCTTAGCACAAAACCGACTGTGTATTGGTCGGCTCATCAAATACCTCGACCATTGTATAACAAGCATATACCCCCATCCAATTGCACCCACCCAAGACTACAAGGTGAATTCCATCAACGCAACCATGAAGCTCATCCACCACTTAGCCACATCGAATCCTAAATTCGACATCAAGACCAAGCTGGTCAACACACTGGGCGGACAGCATGCATATCTTGTTGCCCTTACACGGCTAGCCTTCAGTGAAGGCTTGGTCTTGGAGTCCGGCATCGAGGACGAGGTTGTCAACATGGCGCATGACATCTTGGATGAAGGGCTCAGTATGGAAGAAGGTGACGCCTTTGGCAAAGTATTCAACAGTGGGAGTACGGCGTGAGTCTACATAGTAAACTGGTTCTTTCATTAAATGACAAGGATTGCGAATAGTAGTCAATGCTCCGATATGAACAGGACTTAGGCACATTTGTAGACTTGATCAAACCTAGTCATTGTCTCAATCAAACATTGGCATGTTGACGTTACACTGATTCACAAAAGGTCACAGAATAAACACAAGACAGGATCTCGGTGGCCTATTTCATTGTTCCAAATATGTAGTGGTACTTTCGTTGAATTACTTCCGCAACAAAACTCAATCTGAATATGCTTGCCATGGAATTTCACTCATTAACATAGACCATTATTCTCATGTCGCTGCAAAAGGTATTCGCACACCGCCTCATATACAATAATCAGCACATGTTGCCTAAATACCGCCAGTGTCCCACTCCTCTAAGATACAGCCGCATGATTCAACAGAGGAAAGGGGCACCCGGCTATCATGTAGTGACACGCAGCCGGCACGTCTATGAACCGTCGAGAAAAGAAAAATGTACAGTAGGTATGCATTCGTTGCGGACGTGATCGCAAAAGAAAGACCTTGGATCATCAGCACTCGCTGTTGAGCCTGTGTTTGGGCCAGGCATAGCCCGTTTGGTCCCACAACTGATTCGCATTAGTCACTCGTCTCTCGGCACCACTCTACTAGACTCTTACAGTGTAGTTTAGGTTTTGGTAGGCTTTTGCATGCTTTTCAATATACTCTGTCGTTTCGAAACCTGGAGGATCGCACGTCACCATTTTCTCGCTCTTCTTCTGATACCATCTCACATAGTCGACATGCATTGTTGTCGGAAACACCAAGTTCTTCCAGTCGATATACGTCCACGAATTACTGAAACCGAGATTGAGAATCAGTGACATGGGTTCTTCCGATATCTGACGGGCTTGTATGTTGCCATTGGCTCCAATCGCCCGGCCATCCATCGTGAACATTGTCTGGTCGCCTACTTTCCACAATATGTAGGCCTCTTTGCCCTGTCCAGGCACATATTCAAAAGAGAAGCGCTGGTATTGCTTATTGTCGTACCAGTCTTTGTTGAGCACTGTAGTCGCAGAGATGGCCTGCTGGAAGGGACCACCGGTATACGTATTCAACCCACTCAAAGTCAGGTCTGGAAACGCCGTGAAGTTATAGTTTGGGTAGTAGTTGATATCGAACGGGGCAACTTGGTAACTTTGCGTTGCTATGGGTAATCCCTGAGGTCCTGGGTAGCCTGAGAAAGCTCCTGCTTCAATGATGTCGATTTCTGGCGCACCTCTTCCGGTTCCAGGTGTGGGATGATCTTCACCTGGACAGGTACATGATGGAAGTCGTTGGCCAGGCAGGTGAGACAAACCATCAGGGCTGGACTGATTGGGTGTGATGCCAGCATCACACGCCTGATAAGTATAGGGCCATAGTCCGTCTGTGGTACTTAGATATCCGGGTCGACCAAGATTGCCCATTGTCCATGCACCAGGCCAAAGTCCTTGAACACCTGCCGGCCCAGGCAAGGATACCGAAACCTCAAAGATGCCCCCTTTAAAGCACAATTGGTTCCAGCTATTCAACATGCCAGACTTGAATTTGAGATCATGGTTGAAGAACTCTTCCAAGCGTATCTGAAGTGATCCCTGACTAGTGGTCACAGCATCGGCGTCATACCACTCTAGGTCTTGTGTGGCTCCATACCAGATGTTGGGGGCGAAGAAGTAAGGATCATCTCCTTCATAGAATGACCGGCCGTTCTCGTTGAATTCGTCGCTAAATACCAGTATATAATCATCACCGTATTCGCCCTTTCTCGTCTTCACAGTCTTGGGCGTGTCAGGGTCGATCAGACCTTTTCTCATGTTAACCAGCAGTGGGTATTGTCTGTTGTTCACTGTGGCCCAGGTATGAGGTATCCAATAGTAGGGGAACATACTCAGTGGCATACCGTATGCCGAATTATAATCAATGAGACCCACAGCAGAGAGGACGGGTAATCCGACAAATATGAACATCAGCCCAGACATCATAAGGGTCAGTCCGATGGTGGAGACGACGCTGTCCTTGGTGAAATGATCCCGTATCATTGGTCTAAATCGTATGTCATCATCATCGCGAGGCATATGCATTTCGTCGTCGGGTTCTTCTTGATCGCATACCAATGGCCAGGATGCCATTCCCTTTTCTTCGTAGGGTGCAACCAAACGGTCATCCACAAAAGACAAATTCTTCTCTACATCGTATAAAGTACTTGAACCTTGAGAGGCTCCTGTATCGGGAGCAACAGGTGTGAGAAAGAGGGTGGTGGATGGAACTCGTGGCGGTGGGGTGGAGAGGGCGAGCTTGGCTTGGGGCCACCTCTCTGAGATAGAAGCCCTCCAGCTACGAATGGGA